TAACTTTGGGAAACAACAACAAACACACAAACACACAAAATTTCACCTTCAAAATTAAATACTGTACATATTACCTAAATAAAATCATCATATTTTAGTTTTCCCCCAAACAGCTACAATACATTTCATTAAATGGGCAAATAAACATTTACATATAAGATTCAACTGACAATTTTTACCCATTTCAGAGACTCCATAGAATTTTGTGTCAATAATATATGTATTTCAGGTTTATGGAAACAATTACATTAAAAGCATCTCTCAAAGATGACAGCTGTAAAAATCTGCATCTTACACAATTAGAGTGTTTCTCTTTCACAGGGAGTGAAATTCTCCCTGCAAGTATTTAGCTGCTTTTGACACTACTGTTAGAAAGTCAAGAAAATTAATACACATAAAAAGGAATAAAACAAGACCAAATACTCTAGCAGTTGGAATTTAAAACCCTACAGAAGACTTGAATCCGTCCTTATCTTGACCCATGTTTTCCTCTAAGCTCAATTACGATATAAAGACAAAATGAAAAGACTTCAGTGCAGATGTATCGTGTTGTGTTAGCTGTGACTACATGTTACTATTTGATTTTGAGAAAATATATCCTTTAGTTCCTGGGTTGTCTCTAAACAACTAAAAAGAAATACTCATCAGAATTCTTGATTTGTCACCTTAGACAATGGACTCCCCAAGTTTATCCAAACTTTCAGACAATACTAACTCAGAATTTAAACAATTTGAACAACTTTACTGGTATACTATGAAATATGGTATTATAAAATAAACAATAGAAATAGAAATAGGATTGGGTGTACTGGGGTGGAGTGGAGGAATAAGGAGGATAAAGATAAACAGAAAAACAGAGAAATATTTTTTTAAATGGAAAGTTGGAGAGATTTGCACTAACATCAAAGAAGCAAAGAGCAATAATAAATAAATACCACAAGATATAAACAGGTCACCTGTAGGGAATCTAGCACTGCAGTCAAGGTAATAGATCCTTGTAAAGATATAATGATATTTGATTACTATCTGGACATATAAATATTTGACTAAGAAATTTAGATCATTTATTTCCATTAACTGTAAAACTTTCAATGGGCTGCTGAATATTGCAACGTAGCAATACATATATTCATTTTTAAGAATTGGTAAGAGAAAGAACAAAATTATTGCCACAAATGAAAGAAAAATTTAAGGGTGGAGAAGGTGATTTTAATAATTTGCAAATTTGGATGATAACTCTTTATGATAAAGATTCATTATCTTGCTTATAGAGAGTTTCATACCCTTCTAAAATGAGCACTCAGAATATAAAAAATACTTTCCAATAAACTCCAATCCTTTGAAAACTTTTGATGCATATAAAATAATTTGTGAACATAAGTAATATAATTTCTGTCAATGCACTCAAAATACATTGACATGTTTTACTTGTTGTTTGTGATGATTTCCACAAAGATGACTGGGTAAATTCTTCTGACCTCCAGCCTCTGGGAAGTTTTCAAGGGGAGAAGAATATGTTCCTCCTTATTCTCCTGTTTAACCTCCAACTTATCCTGCAAATCACCAGGAGAGCTCCCAGTTATACTTTGGGGAACATTCAGTTCACTTTTCCTGAATGCAAGCCTATACAGTAGTTAAATGAAGGAAATGCTCTCTCTCTTCACATATGGGAAAACTGAGACCTGAAAAAAGGAAAGTGATTTGTCTAGAGGCCCAGGTAATGTCAGAGACAGAAGCCAATCACAACACCCTCTCTCATCTCAGTCGTCGTCATGAAGGCCTAGTGCCAAAAAGCTACTTTTCAGAGTCCTGCATCTATTAAGCAACCTGTTATTAAATCATCATTAGTAATAAATATCCTTAGTTTTTAATACCCAATTGTGTTTATTGGGATCGTTCTCCATCCATCTTGATTCAGAATGCTTTTAGTGCTGCTTCCTCCTGCAGGAAAATCTGTACATCCTGCTTTTTCTCCTGTAGGTTGGCGGAGGACAGTGCAGCAGCCAACACTCACAACCATCATTGGTGCATGGCTAAAGACCATGGCGATTTTACAGCATCTTGAACATTTCACATCCACAAAGTAGGAAATGGAGCGCTGCATCAGGCACTTTTTGTGTTTCCTCTCCTCCTTTTTTGAAGAAGGATGAAGAATTTCCTTTACAAGAGGCATATTCTCATGGGGAGATCATCACTGCCAGAAAGGCGAAATATCCTTAATTTTTAAAAATCTTAATTACTCAAGACATGCGTGAAACACCAATGTCCCCAGAGGGAAAAGTGTGATGGTTTTTAAAACTACAGGTAAACAGCATATATAGACATAAAATATCTAGAGAGCAAAGCCAAAAATAGTAGTACCTTCATTAAAGTGACTAGTTGCCTCTTGAATAGCATCATGAATCCTTACAACCCTAAGAAAAGTAGATGTATTCTTTTCATCATTCAATATTTGTTAAGCACGAGGCATAATCTGTAGAAAAGAAAAAAAGGAAAACTAGGAAGAGAATTCTCTAGCTACATCTGTCTACTTTTTATTTAACAAATGTTCACAAAGCATTCACTATGTGTCTGGCACTGTTTTAAGGACCTACAAATATTTACAACAATTTAAACACCGTAAGATCTGTTGAGATAGGTGCTATAATTATCCCATTCTCAAATGAAGAAAGCAGGCACAGGGAGGTTACTTGCCCAAGGTCACACCAATAGAAAGTGGCAGAACAGGATTCAATTCCAGGGAATCTGCTTCCAGAATCCATGTACAGAATTGCAGCTCTGTGCTACCTTTGTTGAGTAGTTTAATTACTATTAAAGCAACTACTCTCTTCAAAGTTTTGAAGAGCTTTGCTGGGTGATTGTGGCTATAGGTAAAAAATTTGGATGAAGCACTTACTGAGGTCCCATCAAACTCTTAGCTATGTGCTGTGAGTAATAATTTCACAATAGAATAAATATTTTATTAATTTTAAGACAGTAGATCATTATAATCTGGAGATTGACTAATACCAGTTTAGTCAAATACCTGACAGTCTCTGCTTGTTAAATTCTTCCCTTGTTCTCTCTGCTCTTTCTCTGAGACATTTGAAAATTCACCTGCAATAGTCCATCAATATATTTACTGAATTACGGCTATGGGCAAGGCACAAAGCTATGTATTATGGGAGATTTTTACCAGAGAGAGGGCTTTTTCTCCCCTTGATGCTTATAATCTAGTTAAGATGGTAACAGATTTCCCTGAATAAGCAATTAACAAAGCAGTAAATAATAAATGTTGAAAGAGTGTTACAGACAATAAGTACTCTGAGGAAGTTAGAGATGTGTTTCTTTCTGCTTCAATAATTCCTTATACATACTCTTATCAGAGCAATTATCAAGTATAATTATTCACTTGCTGAAGCTAATTTACCTGCTTGTCTCTTCTACTAGAATGTAAGCCTCTTGAGGACAAGAATGCAGTTTTATTCATCATTGTTTCCTTGATGTTTAGCACAGTGTTTGGTATTCAATAGATACTTAATATATACTTGATGAATGAATGAATGCATGAAGAAATAAATAAATGTTTCCTAGAGGCAGGCATTTCTTTTGTGGCCAGTGCAGTAGAATGGTAAATCCCTGGAGTCAGGCTGTGTTGGTTTGAACCTAAGCACTGCTTTTGAAAAGTTGTGTGATTCTGAAAAATTTACCTGATTTCTCTGCATTTCATTTTGCTCATTAGTAAAATGAAAATAATAGTACCTTTCTTCAGCAGCTAATTTGGCTATGGAACAAATTACCCCAAAAGCTAATGACTTGAAACAGCAGCCATTGATTTAACTCAGGGTTCTGTGGATCAGTCATTTGGAGTGTGTTGGTTCTCCTGTCTCAGCTGGGCTCATTCACGCATCAGAGTTCAGCTATTGGGCAATCTGGGGAATGTTTTGTCCATGTGATGTGTCATCTTCTACCAGGCTAGCCTGGGCTTCATCACATGACATCTGGCAGGCCTCTAAGAGGGAGAGTTGAAACACACAAGGCCTCTTGAGGCTTAGACTCAGAATTGGCACAAGGTCGCTTCTGGGGCACATTCCATTGGTCAAAGCAAGTTACAAGGCCAGCTCACATTCAAGGATTGGGTAAGTCGAATCCACTCTTGATGAGAGGAGCAGCAAAGCCACATTATAATGTGGTATGTATACCAGGAAGGGTGGAGACATTGAGCTATTTTTGCAATCTGCCATACTCTTTCATAGGATTAGCAAGAGGATTAAGAACATAAAACATTTAAAGGACTTAGAACAGTGTCCACCACGCAGTAATAAACCCAATAAGTAGTAGCCATTGTTATTCTGTTGGAGGTTGCCAGGAAAGGTTTTATAGTGGAAAGAAATCTGAGTTTACTCTTGAGAGGTAAGTGGGATTTCTATTTGTAGAGAACGAAGGCCTCTCAAAAGGACACAGCCTAACAATAGGTGCTGTGGTTTAACAGTGGAGCGTGTCCAGAACAGGCTGCCCAGAGGAGCTAGAGCTAAACACTGGGAACCTAGAATGCCAGCCACAGAGTTGGGCTTGACAGCAGAGCAATATCAAACCATTGGCTTTTGCCTAACTGTTAGCCAATAGCACCATTTCTTATTGTTATTTCAGATGCTGTGTTCTTTAATAAGCTTCTCAGTGCTGATGGTTCTGTGGTATCTTTGACCCATCTACTCAAGATTAAAAAAATAAATAAATAAATAACTAGAAATCTGTGAGTTGTGTCTGGATTTTGCTGCTCCCTAACTTTGAAGGAGCTATGTGGTCCTTCTTTACTCAATTTTATTCCAAGTGTAAAATGGAATAATTTCTTGCTTTATCCATCCATTCCACAATAATGGTAATCTTAAAGGTCAGATCACATTGAAGTAGTGTTTACTATCCAAAAGACACAGGGGAGACCAGGCTCTGATGTTTATGCAATTTGATGATAACTCATAAATCCCAAGCAGAAAAGTCAAGAATAAGGAAAATAAAGTTTCAGGGTGGCTGCACCTATATGTCAAGCAGCAAAACATTTCTAGAACTGCTCTAAAGATAATCTTCAGCGCCTCCAGTCCAGTGAGACGATCCTGAGCAACTGGAGCCACTGATAGGCCTGGATCTCTGCCACCTTGAAGGCTGACCAGACCACTAGAAGCTAGTGGCAGCTCTAGTAGACTGCTCAGTGGCTATGGTTTCAGAATCTTTCCATTGTACATGGTTTAAATGCAAATTCACTAATGAATAATTTTGATAATTCTATGGAAGTATGAAGATGATTTGCATTAGGCGACTACACAATCATATTTAATTTTTTTAAAAAAAGACAATTCTGGCTCTTCTTATGCCATGTGAAATCCATCCTGCTGAGTGCTCCTGACTAGTCACGTCCTTCCTGCCATTTTAAAAACAATAGTGGCAGAGATGCAAGCTGCTGATAGTGCTCAGCAGGACAGATCAAACACACAGATGCAATTTCTGTATGTTGAACACTGAAGTAGGATAAAATTCAAATACTTACAATCGCTTAGTAGCTAGCATCTGATTGCTGCAAATTGAATCTTTCATAACGAGATTTATTGTAAATAGTGTCATCTCATTTGTGAGTTCTGCAATAATTTCAGTCAAAGCCAGTATAAGATACTGGAGATGTGAGATTTATAGGACATATATGCTAGTTTATGCACAGATTATGAAGAGATGTTTTATTGATATTCTTTTTTAATTGCTTAGAAAATAACCAGAATTGTATTTTTTTCTGAAATTTAAACATTATCAGATAACTTTAGAATGCAGAAGAAAATGTTTTTATCCACTTCAACAGACATTTTTGGAATTGCCAGCTCCCAATCCCATTCTCTTCCCCTTCAACCCTAGTTGTTAAATAAGCATTAACATTATAGGTAGCTAATATGTTTGAAATGTGGCTTTTATATTATTTGGAAGCAATAAAGAGCCTGGTAATCATAATTCGTGACCAATATATCCTATCCATAGAAAAATAGAAATTTGAAACTAAGCTATTTTGAGGCCTACGAACATACTTTCTTTCATGATAAAACAGGAAGGTGGCCATAATTTAAGTGATCAAATACTATTATTGCCTTTGGGCTTAGTTCCAAATACTTCATGAGAAGTCCATAAAAGATCAACATCAAAAGCATAAATAAAAATTGCACTTTACATGTATGAGAGTTTTATGACACTCCACATACTTAATAGCTTTAATTGCTAGTGACACAGAACTCCAAAAATGTTCTACCTTAGAGTCACATGATCTTCCTGTTCAACACCCAAACAAGGGAAATTTAAAAAAAAAAATCAAAACAAATAATAGGGCCAGGAGAATTGGATAATCTTTTCTCTTTCCTCTGCCCTAAACAACAACAGCAAAATTCTTTTATATGATTTAATCATGTACTGGGGCATTTCCATTATAAACATAAATATGAGAATGCAGCATCTCAACAGGATCTGAATAAAGAAGTCTTACTCTCAGATAATCTAGAACCTTGACAAAAAAAGCGGGGGGCTTTTGTGAGGGTTAAATGTTTCAGTTTGATCCTTCTTCATTTATTTAAGAGTGAATATCCCATGTGCATGTTAACATTATCATTGTAAATGGGGAATCTCTATTTCTGAACCTCAGAATTGTTAGTTTTCCTCCCTTTCCTAAGCAGGTGTCTTTCCATCTCTCACAAATCAAAGAGATGATGGGGGGTGTGAATAGACGTCTTGCAGTGGTGCCCTGATATGTATTTTAGTAAGTTTACTCATCAGAGCACATATAAATTAGAATGAATCATATTCATATATTTAATAGCAAACAAAGCTCAATTTAGCTCATGTCCAGTTTTCTTCACGTTCATTTTACTTAAGGGCATGCCTTCCTTTTTCTGCTTCTTTTTTTCTTTCTTTCTTGGACACCTCCAACCCCCATTGATGACCGAAATGCAGGGCTATAAATGTAAGGGTGCAATACATCATGAGATAAGTCTGGAGAACATGTCCTCTACCAAAATGCACATGAATCTCTAGTACAGCTAAAATTCCAGAAACATGCTGGGGTTCCTTTTGCATGGTAAGCAGGGTCAAAAATGTGAGCACTAGGTGGTTGCCCTTATATATCAGATGAGTTCCAAAGTTGAAAGGTTACATTTGTGAAATTGCAGCTGGGTTTCCTGGCACTTGATTCTACCTCCTGCAAAATAAACACTCCTAATTGAAATACAAAGCCAACAATATGATAATCTTTCAGTTAAAAAAAAAAAATGTGACTTCTGCACCATTATCTGTTGAAGAGCTGACAGAGAAGTTCAGAGGCAGTTGTTTCACCAGGCAAAATGATAGAGAAAATATGTTTTCAAATAAGATCATAAACCTTGCATAGTGCTTTATGGGAAGCAAATGTAAAGCAAAGGGCTGTCCTCTATTCTGTCTACCAGCTCTACTCCCACCACCCTGGTGTGTATCCTCAGCCACTCACCTTTTAGGCAAGGGCTAGTATCTTCTAGATCAGACCCAAATCCCAAATAACAAAACAGAATAAAGTGATATCTTAGCATACTTTGAGATCAGACTGTTTCTGCATTTCATAGTGCTGGGGGTGAGGGGGAGGTGTGGGGGGAAGGGAAAAGCAGCATACCAATGTAGTGAAATCTGGAAACAACAGCATATATACAGACACAAAAAAAGTTTGCATATTGCACAGAGCGCTTGAAGATCATAAATCTATGCATGAGAAAGATGTAGTGGAAATTTTGGGGGGGATTAGAGTTTATTTTTGTCATCTCTGTGAGACAGCTACTCATTCATCCAGATCACAGCTAAGAAAAAAGCTGGTCACAGAAATTAGCAGTTTCAGCTCAGCAGCGAAGTCGCCAGCCTGTGAAGGCAGAGAGAAATTGACTAATTAGCAATGCGCACTAAAACTTGACGGTTCTTTATAGAGAGAGAGGAGAGAGAGGGAGAGGGAGGGAGGGGGGGCTCGCTTTTTCCCCTTCTTTCTTCCAAAGATGTTTGAAATCGCAGTCATTTACGCTCGACAATTTTTACAATAGCCTTGAGCCATAATTTTGCGAGTCTCTCCAGCATCCATCCCCCTGTATGGTCTCTCTCTACTGGCCAAGCACGACCGTTTCTCTCCCCAACCGTGGATTTCCTATTACTCTCGTTACGACTCACTGAGCCCCAGGCCCAAGGATAATGATGTGTTGTTTCTTGGTAGCATAATTTGTCACACGTACATTTTTTCTTCTTCTTCTCTTGCAGAAAGCTCTGCTCCCTCTCTCTCTCTCTCCCTCTCTCTCTCCCTCTCTCTTTCTCTCTTTTCTCCCTCTCCTACATTTTCTTGCTGTTGCTAATTCATGGTGATCAAATGATGTACGACAAAATAAATTGTAAAGAGTGACTGCCTGGAGTTGGGAACCAGAAGGTGTTTTCCCCCTCCCAAGGAGAGAGCAAACCTTTAAAAAGGAAGGACAATTGATTTTTGGGGGGAGCTTAAGTGAGCCTTGACTTTGCAGCTGGTTGAGAGCAGGTAAGTTTCTGGCCTTGTGTCTGCCTTGTGTGTATTTTGTTCTGTCTTTTGGGTTGTTGTAGGGGGAAGGGCCGGGGAGGGAGTCTTTCAGAGGTGTTGGGGGGGTAGTTGTATGGCAAACGCTCATAAAGAATAAAACTCCTATTGCAAGAAATAAGCAGATGAGGAGGAAAGGCAAGGGAGGAGAACAAGAAGGAAGGGGAATAGGAAAAGATGGGGGGGGGGAGACAACGAAGCGGAGAGAGCTAGAGAGAGGTATGACCGGGTCCTCTTAAAGGGAGAGAGACTCTAAGATGTTTCAGGCAAGCCAGAGCTTTGGGGGCGGGCGTGGGGGTGCTGCCGAGGGAGGGAGCGCGAGGGAGGGTAGGGTCCACCTGGAACGGGATGGTAAAGTGAGTGGAAAGGAGCTCAGTCCGGTATAAATAGGAAGCCGGCGATCCAGGACCGGCGCCAGGCAGGGCAGAGTGAGCCGCAGTGGAAGGGGCAGGTCCGGCGGGATCCCTCTGAGCCGGGAGGCGGCGGCGGCGGCGGCTCTCCCGGGCGGGCGGACGGGCGGGTGCGCGGGCGGGATGCGAGCAGAGGGTCCCTTTCTGCTCAGCCCTGGAAGGTGCAATTACAGGTTAAGGACCGGGCGTATCGATTTCGCCTCGCCTCCCCCACCCTGCCCTCCTCCGCCTAGATGCCGGCGGCTCAGACTTTTTACAGAAGTAGTTCCAGGGCCGGGGGAGTGGGGGTGCCCGAGTGGGGGGCCGCTGGGGGCTCTACCGAGGGGGTCAGAAGGCAGCTGCGGCTGCCGGCCACGATGCTGGGTGGGGCGCAGAGACCCCGCACCCCACTGCGCCCCCGCCCCCCCACTCGTTCCACAGCCCCCACCCCTCCCCCCAACACCTGCCTTCTAACTTGAACTTCTCATAGTTACTGGAGTTAAAGCGACTGCGCCTGGTGCCCGGGAGAGAAAACCGTGCACACGAATCCCTCCCGGCCTCCCGGCCTCCCGGCTCCCGCTCCAACCGCGTCCTCGCAGCCCCACTTCCTCCCCTTGGGTCCTCGGTGCTGCCCCGCACTGGAAGGGGAGATAGATGCCCGAACTTCCGCGCTTTGAAATGAGCGAGACGGGGGAAAGGGGGCCACCGGGTGGGGGTGGGGGTGGTGGAAGGATTCTCCTGCCAGGTTTAAAGGCGTCTCTGAAAAATTAGCCAAACTGAGTGGTGACGGGGAAGCCAACAGTTTGCGAAGCAGGGAAGCGGGCAGGGCCAGGGTGAGGGAAATGAGCTCGAATTGATAAGGACAGCTCCCGCCTCTGCCGAGTCCACTGAGCGGGTCCTCACCGCGCTCCGCTGCACTTTCCCGGGAGAAGAAAGGGCTTTATCTCCTCCCTCAGACTACTAGCCTAGGAGTTTCTCGGGGCAGCATGGATAATCGAAGGGGGTCCCAGCTTTTGGAGAGCTAAGATTCGCCCACCCCGCACGCTTGTCGGGCCCCTGTTCCTACCCCCTCCCCCAAACTGGGCCGACTGCGAAAAGCAAAGCTTCGGGCATAAGTTGACCTGAAACCTTCACCGTCGGTCGCCTCTGCGCTTTCAGGGCACCCCCGGCTCCCCACTCCCCAGCCTTTCCCTTCATCCGGCCCGGCATGGACACAAGCCCACGAGGTGCCTCGGCCTCAGCCGCCACTTTGCCGTCGCTGCTGCCACTGCTGTTGCTGCCAACAGCTGAGGTGATTTTAGGAAAGTGAGGTACGAAGTGTGTGGGAGGTGGCGAGAGGAGTCGCAGGGAGCAGAACCGGCGCCGGGACCCCAGACAGGGCCCTTCTGGTGGCGCTCACGGATCCAGCGTCTTCGGACTTTCCTCCTAGGGTCGGGGTCCGGAGCGCGCCAGGAGGGAGCCAAGCTGAGCCTTGTTTCTTGTTCTTCGCCCTCCCCTCCCCTCCACACCCTTCCCCACCCCGACCACACCCCACCCCATCCACCACCCTGCTCCCCTCCCTCCCATCCCCCACCCCTGTCTGCCAGGTTGGAGGAGGGTTTAAAGCCAGGTGCACAGAGTCAGCTCGCCATGTCCAGATCCGGGGACAGGACTTCCACCTTCGACCCCAGCCACAGCGACAACCTGCTGCACGGCCTCAACCTGCTGTGGAGGAAGCAGCTGTTTTGCGACGTGACCCTGACGGCCCAGGGCCAGCAGTTCCACTGCCACAAGGCCGTGCTGGCCTCCTGCTCGCAGTACTTCCGATCGCTCTTCTCCAGCCACCCCCCTCTCGGGGGAGGGGTCGGCGGCCAGGACGGCCTGGGGGCCCCCAAGGACCAGCAGCAGCCGCCGCAGCAGCAGCAGCCGTCACAGCAGCAGCAGCCGCCGCCGCAGGAAGAGCCCGGGACTCCTTCTTCCTCCCCCGACGACAAGCTGCTGACCAGTCCCCGGGCCATCAACAACCTGGTGCTGCAGGGCTGCTCGTCCATCGGGCTGCGCTTGGTGCTCGAGTACCTCTACACGGCCAATGTGACCCTGTCCCTGGACACGGTGGAGGAGGTGCTGTCGGTCAGCAAGATCCTGCACATCCCCCAGGTCACCAAGCTCTGCGTGCAGTTCCTCAACGACCAGATCTCGGTGCAGAACTACAAGCAGGTGTGCAAGATCGCCGCGCTGCACGGCCTGGAGGAGACCAAGAAGCTGGCCAACAAGTACCTGGTGGAGGATGTGCTGCTGCTCAACTTCGAGGAGATGCGCGCCCTGCTGGACTCGCTGCCGCCCCCCGTGGAGTCGGAGCTGGCGCTCTTCCAGATGTCCGTGCTGTGGCTGGAGCACGACCGGGAGACCCGCATGCAGTACGCGCCTGACCTCATGAAGCGCCTCCGCTTCGCGCTGATCCCGGCCCCGGAGCTGGTGGAGCGGGTCCAGTCAGTGGATTTCATGCGAACCGACCCGGTCTGCCAGAAGCTGCTGCTGGACGCCATGAACTACCACCTGATGCCCTTCAGGCAGCACTGCAGGCAGAGCCTGGCCAGCAGGTAGGAGACAACAAAGAGGAGGGCGGGGGTGGCGGGGGTGGGGGGGAGAGCCAGAGAGGCCGGAGGGAGGGGAGGGGGCAGGGAGGAGGGGAGAGATGGGTGGGCTGGGCGGGTGGCTCTGGCAGGATGAAAACAAACGCAAACAATTCAGAGTGTGTGGGGAAAGTTGATTTCAGAGTCCCTGAAAGGTCAATAGGGAACTGGCCTAACAGCATCCCTGAGCGCTCCAAAGCCGAGGTTCTAGATATCTCCAGAGTGTAAACATGGGAACTGTGGACTCAGACTGAAATTGACAGGCAGGTGGGGCCAAAGGCCAGGAGAGTTAGAAGTGTAGCTTTGGCAGTCTCTCTAAGCCAGTTCTACCTACAAATCTCAAGATGGGCTTGTTCTAGAAAAGGGATCCTGTGGTGAGGAATGCCCACTCCACCCCTCTTCAGTTCTGCCTTGGGTGAGCAGAAGAGCCCAGGCGATGCTTGCAAAGGAAGGCTTTCATGGTCTTGCTGTCACACACTCAAGTTGTTTCTTCATGACTGGGATCTGCTCCCTGTGAATGTCAGAGCTCCAAAATGCTTTGTCTATTAGGGTCACTATTGGAAATGCTGGTATCATGTGCCCAGGCAAACTTTTCTATGTTGTGGAAAGCCTTTCCTTTTCACTTTTAAAGGAGAGTAAAGCAAGAGATTTCAGGGTGATGGGGTGAATCTTGCCTAGTAACTCCCATTTCTGAGAAGAGTGCAGTTGAAAATTGGGATGGGGGAGTGGAGAGGCTTCTAGCTCCAGTTGGGCTGTGTGCCTGCTCACCAGTGACAAAGAAGTTGGGGAGTTGTTGCTGCTCCTGTTGTTGCCAGTTAGAAACGTGGCTGTGTGTGTTGCAAGTAGGATTTCAGGGGAGAAATGATGCCTTTTAAAAATGCTGCTGAGATAAAAAGGTTGTAGGAATTGACAATCGTGTTTTATTGGCTCCAATTTTAAAACCATTTTTAATGAGCCCTAGCAAAGGGTTTCTTTCTCTTTTTAGAAAAGAGAAACAGTATCCTCTCAGTTTCTCATGATAAAACATCATGATTCCAGATGCTAGGCTACTCCAGCCTAACCACCAAAGTGTTACATTAGTAAAGCAAATGGTTTGAAAATCTAGCAGGGCATTTTCCCAATCAGAATGATGTCTAAAGGATGGGGCCCACCTTGTGCAGCCTTATAGAATTAAATGGTGTGTGTGTGTGTGTATGTGTGTGTGTGTGTGTGTGTACTTTTCATTGTATTTCCAGCAGACCTAGGTAACTAAAGTTTCAAGAAATGGAAGATATTCTCTACACTTTTTTAGGCGGCTCTAGTGTTAAGGAGAGGCCAAGAGTAGGCATGAGGAATTTTGAACTTGTAACAAAACGCTGTAAGTTGATTTTTCTAACATCCGTGGGAGATGAGTTAATGAATCGTGGTGTCAAAAGATGATAATAGGACAATAGAAGAAACAAGAATCTAAATCCGCTTGTGCTTTTAACAGTGAGCACAAGAGGCCAATGAGGAAAAAAACATGAAAAGTATTTTTATTTTATTGGAATTTTTCGCTTGTCTAAACATCCAAATGGCAAACTCAGTGTGATGGGCAGTGGGCATTGGTGATTAATATTCTGTCATTTTAATATTTACCACTTTTAAATGACCTACAAGTATACTTCATTTAGCATATATCATACATAGTCAGTAATTCAGACAACACATTATAGTTCTGCACATACATTTACTCATACTTTTAAAAATATGTATAATGCGGTATAAATTCAGAAACCCAGAGGAATAATCAAATTAAGATTTAACTTATTCTAATAAGTAATTTTGGCAGAGGAGCTTTATAAATTTGATCCAGTAAATAATTTCTGAAGCTCTCAATGCACTTTTATTTAATAGGTATGTCCTAAGATTCAATGTTAGAAGAGTTGACTTTCAAAATGCAAAATCCATTTCCCACTTTAGTCAAGATTCAGCACACCAGCTAAGGCCTGCTGGCTCTGTCCTGGTGGATGACTGAGATACCAGGCTGCCTGGCTCCGTGACGACACCTTCCAGCTTCACTGGGCCACATCATTTGAAGGATATGTAGTGGTGTCTGACCACTAAATGCTTACAAGTGTCATGGATGCTGGAAGAATCTGATACTTCTGCAGTAGGAAGAAAGCTGTATTTTCTTTTAAAAGAGAAAGATATAGAAAAGAAAATAGTTCATGCGAACCTGTCATTGACCTCAAAATAATATAATTTGGGTTTTATTCCATTATTCGTAAATGTAGCACTTTGAATTTTACAGACTAATTACATTATTTTAATTTTAATTCACAGGAAGAATGCCAAAATAACCATGAAGTTCCTAACTTTAAAGTAGACAAAAATGCTGTAAGTTGCAACCAGCAGTATTAAATCAGCCCATTTATTATAGCATCAGTGTAATATAAAAATGTTCCCTCAGCCTTATGTGTCGCTTAACAGGGGGATAAATGTGTTAACCAATTGGTTTTGAGATTACATCACTTTTATTGAAGACAATTGAATAGAAGGACCTTGTATTTATTACTTTTTATCCACCTGTAGTTTTTAAACTCTAAATATAAAAGAGTTTATTAAATTCAGAGAGGGAGATGAAAATGTAAAATTGACCAGTCTTTTGGAGTAAGTACAAAGTATAAGCAAATAGAATAACTTCAAAACAGAATTGACTTGTTAAAGAATATATTATCTATAGAAAGTAGAGATATTAATATAATCACAATTTAAGCATTTTAAAGATCATTAAATAATTTTGCATTTTTATTAAGTCTAGAAAAGTAAAGGAACTCAAGTATAAAATCTTTATACAAATGCTCAAATTAACTTAAAAGATTCCCTCTTGTTGCTTAGTTTTTCTAAGTTTACCGGTTGCACTCAAATTCGTATTCCGTTTTACCAAACTTAACATAAGGACAATAAGTAAAACAAGAAACTTGTCACTCTGTATTCAAATACACACAAAAGTAATTTAAGATGACAAGACTTGACAAAGGATATAAAGTTTCAGTTAGACAGGAAGAATAAGTTTTAGTGATCTATTGCGTCAGCAATGTGACCACAGTTATTAAAAAAGTATCACATATTTCAAAATTGCTAAAAGAGTAGATTTGAAACATTCTCAACACAAAAACATGACAAAGAGGTGAGGTGATGGATAGATTAAATCAGCTTGATTTAATCTTTCTGCAAGTCAATATTAACATCATCTAAAGCATGAAAATTTAGTTTCATAAAGTGACATGATATGCAGTGTTTAGTACATTAAATGTAAATAACAGAAGACTTATAGTCTAAATTTAGCTTAAGTAACCCAAATAGTTTATTTGCAGTTTGAAATTTTAATGTATAATTTAGCAATTATCCCAAATAAATCAAATTGGACTAGATATTAATTAACTGGATAAAATTAACTAATGTTTTACATTTTCATTGCACCTCACACAATGTAACACATAAATGCTTATTAAAAGTTGAATGAATTAAGATTATGAAATAAGAAAGGCTCAATGTTGTACTTCATCAATACATTAATCTACGTTACTATTGCACATAACAAAAGTTTACTGAACCTTCTCCAAGAAAACACCTGTAATAGAAATACATTCATGAAATGATCATATTTTTTAAGCATTTAACAACTAGCTATTATGTCCTGTGTGGGGTTCCATATCAAAGTGTAGTTTTAAAGAAATTATATTTTATAAACAACAGGAGACTACCTAAGATTTCATTTACTACAAAACATAGTCTATTCATAGATTTCTCATAAATTAATGTAAAAATCTATTTAAACATGAAGGGTACTAATTATCTATCTGCTAAAATGACTTGCAATAACTAAAATGCCATTACATTTCCTAATATACAGTTTTGATTCCTGGCTTTGGTGCTTAGAAAGTGTTTCATTAAATGTAGGACAATATTTTCTATTGGTTCTCTTTCTAAGAACTGAATAATAACCTTAACAAAGCAAACTAATCTTGTATCCATGCATTCTCTAAATTGTTACTTCCCTTTATATCAATTTGATACCCTCAGATTAAAAATTGTTAGGTAGTTAAATTTTGTATCAGAAATTATTCAACCATTCAGAATACAATTTGTTTATTATCTGAAACAGGACCATTGATTACAAAATTACATCAACCGGTGTGGGAGTCAAATAGTTACATCCTACAATCAGAAGGCAATTAAAAAGGATACGAATGCATTGTATTGAAATAGAGGACTTACTGTTAAAAGTGGACATTTTCCAGTTTTAATTCATGCTTGTATTTTTACCATTTTTATGAACATGAGGTTCACTCATTACCTTAGCAAATTCTAAGTATCCCAATTTTCTTAACTTAAAAAAACAGTAAAAAATTTGTTACCTTTTTTACAACTGCTACTGAGTAACAGGTGATGTTGACGCACTTCACAAAACCTTAATTAATTGAATTTTCATAATAGCCCAAGGTATGGGTACCATCATTAGCCTCATATAGATAAAAAACTGATTCACAGAGAAGTTAAGCATTGCTCCCTGATTGCACAGCTGAACCCAGGCAGTGTGGCACGTCTATGTTGTCATTCACAGTGTGCTGTTTTTTACTATCACTCCTCAAATGCTAGCCAGGCTGTAATCTAGTAATTGACTGAAGAGTTACATGTAGACTTAAGACTTTTCTTTTAAAAAGAAACTTGTAAGGGTTAAATATTAATGTATCTGACTTAAAAAAAAATTAGGAGAGTTGTTTTTCCAAGCCAGGGGTCAGCAACTTTTTTTCTATAAAAAGCAACACAGTGTTTATTTTTGGCTTTGGGGTCACAAGGTCTCTGTTGCAACTGTGCGACTCTTCCCCTGTTGTGCAAAAACACAACTGACAGTACATAAATGAATGGTCATTGCTGTGTTACAGTAAAACTGCATTTGTGGGCACTGAAATTTCATATAATTTTCACATCATGAAATATTA